GGGAATTCTGGGAGCTGAAGTCCACCCATCTTAAAGTGGCCAAGGCTGAGAAACACTGACCTAGGGTGTCGTTTGTGATTTCTAAGGTTCGCCTGAGATATTTGAACATGCCAAATGAACCGTCAGGCCATCCCTCTGTGTCTTTCAAGACTGGAGGCAGAGTCTTTGCTGGCAGCAAATTCCCAGCCCTCGAAGGGAGTCTGAGCCCTGAGCTGCCTGTCTTGGTCCACCCTGCCCCCCCAAGCTGAGACCCTCAGCCCCTTCCCCGCCCCTCTTTGGCCCAGCATCCAGGCTCGTCCCTGCTTCACCTTTCTTTCTCGTTGTTGCAGAGGAATGTGCCGTAGGGAGAGGCGTAGCAGTGCTCAAAGAGTGCCAGCAGGAGATGCTCATTGAATGCCAGCGACAAGGGGAACTGGCGCCCCAGTTGCCAGACGCAGTCGAGGAAGAGGACAAATGTGGGCGCCTCCTGCTTGAGCCGAGTGTGTGAGTAGGCGGAGTGGGCGCAGCGGAGGTGGAACGGGTGCCCCGCCTGGAAGAGCAAAGAAAGCTGGCTGGTAGGAACAGAAAGGGGGTTTCTACGTCTTCCAGTTTCTACAGGCAACGTGAAGGGAGAGGGTGGGAGTGGGTGGCCATGCCTTCAACATCAATCAGAGAACCCCATAAATGTCAATAGGAATTCAATTGTTCCTCCTCGTTATCAAAGGTATGCACACCAGCCAGCTTCACTGGGTATGACCAGATGCAGAATCCGAGGTCCTGCCAAAGCTTCTGAACTACAGTTCCCATCAGGGAGTACAAGGGATGGGACAATGGAAGATGTAGTTTATCCACATCTGGAGGGCCAGGGGTTCACTGCACTGGCTTGATGGTAATATTCAGTGGCTGTGCTACCACACCAGACTAAGCCATGGTCAAGTAACCGATAACCTCCCAAATCATGTTTTGTGTTCTTCCATTTAGTAAGCTGTCTAGAGCTGATGAGCGAGTGTTGTGTCACCGTGGAAGAAAAATAGCAAGGCGTTTCCTCTCTTGCACATATAAGATAGATACCGCATCTCTGCTTTGAAAGAGTTACAATCACTTTCACTTTTGAAATGGTATCTGTATTACTGCTAGGAACTATTGAGATAAAAAGAACTAAATGTGCTTTCTACTCCAGTGTTTCCCAACCTTGGCAACTTTAAGATGTGTGGACTTCGACTCCCAGAATTCCCTAGCTAGCAGAGGTAGACTTCATCTCCCAGAATTCCCCAGCCAGCAGAGGTAGACTTCATCTCCCAGAGTCCCCCAGCCAGCAAGCCAATCCTCTTTGAACTGCCTCCTGCTGGTACCTGTATCCATTCCCGCTCCAGCAGCCCCTGGAAGCCGGTCAACGTCCTGCAGTCTGGATCCAGGATAACTTGGGCGAGAGCGGTCACCAGCAAGGTGGTGTCCTTCCCTTCGCCTCCGTGCACCAGGACGCAAGCCTCCTCCCTGCAGCAAGACGCAGGCGTTCTGGTTACGTGCCGCCGCCCTGAAATTAGCCCACCACCTCGCAAGGTTGGGGTGCGGAGGGGACTTGCCCAGGCAGCTTCTCCCGGGGATTCCTCTCCTCACCGAATGCGCAAGCCGCCCCCCCCCCGGCATCTGTACCTTTCCAGGCACTGGGCTGCCAGGCAGGCCGCGTTCAAAGCTTCCTTGACGTGGGACAACCACTTCGAGGCTTCCAGCCTGCTCAGCCAGCGGTCCATGTGGGGAGAAGAGTCGTTGCAAGCTTCTACCAGCTTGATGAAGCTTTCCTGGAGGGGGCGGCCCCTGGGAGGTGGGGAGGGAGAAGGAGAAGAGGAACAGACTTGGTCACGAGTCCTGAAGCTCGCAGCCAGGGTCCTCTCCAACAGACCACCGCTTGGCTGGCTGGAGAAAATGGGTTACGGTCCAACCTATCAGTGGACAGGGGAGGCTGGTTTAAACCTTCACAGCTGTCCACCTTCCTGGATAGGAAAATGTAGATGAAATAGTTCTTGTATGACACTTAGATAGAACCGCCTACTGAGCAAAAATACTAACACCTACCAACCCCAACTTCAGAAACTGCCCTTTGTTGCAGAAAGTAAAAATCTGGCTGAGAACAAATGATTTTCTATCCCTGTTCCCTATCACCTTGTTAGACCAGGGTTTTCTTTTCAACGGTCGTGCTGGGCAAACGTCCCATTCACGCGGCCATTCACGAGAGAAATTCTAGCTATCAGAGTTAGAAGCTGAAGGAGGGCGACATTGCAAGGACACGAGCAAGCCGTTTTCACAGGCGCTGGGTCAAGGATTAAAACCAAACGGAAACATCGCTGCCATTTCCTTTTCTCCAGCTGTTTATTTTCGTTCCCGTCTTTACTGAGCATCCGCGTGATGGAGGCTTGGTGACCTGGAGAACTTGCTAAGAATCCTAACTGGATTGAAGAATCTTACTGTCCCTCTTGCTGGTTAAAAGGGTGTGATCCGTGATGGACGGGAATTGCAGAGGAATTGCTACAGGGCAGTGTCACCTGGAGGATACACAATCGGGTCGTTCCAGGTAAGGGTTAGAGTAGTATTTCGCAACTTGGCAGCTTTCAGTTGGGTGGACTCCAACTCCCAGAATCCCCCAGCCAGCCATGCTGGCTGGGGAATTCTGGGAGTTG